CACATTGGTGTGGAGAGGGAAAAAATAGAGTTCCAACGAACCTTTGGGTTGACAGCAAATCACCTTTCTTTTGCATTGAGAATGCCAGGGATTTTTGTAAGCAGCCATCTACACCTACGTACTTGTGTTCCACTCGGGTTTGGATCTGCAGTGAATGCCTGGATATGAAAACAGACTTCAGGGGGCATGTAGTCTGGGCTATCTTGCCCTGGAATGTGGACCTGGCGACAGCAGCATGTGCGTTGAACTCTCGAGTTCACTCTCTGGGGATGTCCACAGATGCATGCTGGACCTGAAGTGGTTGTGTTACCGGATCTGGAAGTGGCAGGCGCAGTTCTGAAGTAAAGGACAGCATAACCGGGAAACTCCGGATCTTGAACAAGGACTCATTTGTCTTTGACACTGCTGCTAAGGAGGGGTTTGAAGACCACCGTTACATGAAATCTTATCCCTCATGTGATGTCTTTCTCCTTTTTCCTACTTTATCTCATCCAAGCTATCTACCCGTTGTCCTTCCTGGGATTCTCGTAATGATTATATTATCATGCTCGCTGTCGCTGGATTTGACATACTGGGTTGGATGAGCCACCCGGGGCACTTCCATCTTGCCCCAAATAACCCAAAAAAGAAACCTGCAAGCATTTTAAAACTCGCCAGAGTCCATGGGTTAGTGCATGAGAAGAAAGTGTCAAGAAAGTGGAATTCTTTTCCACCAAGTGACAACTCTCCAGTTTTTCAGGGTCAGTTCCAAAATAACTCACAGCTGTTGCACCCCATTCCATTTGGGGCAAATGGCTGATGGATCATACAGCTCTGTATCTACTTGCCCTAGCCCAGACTAACCTCTCGCTCTCTTTCAGTGCAGATGGCATTCTGGTGGAGCCGGTGCACGGCCAGCAGTAGGCTTCCAACAATTCACTGTCTTCTGCCCCTGTAGGAGAGGGAAAACCAGGATTTATCCCCTCTGAAGTATAGCTCATTTACTTCTCAGTCCTTGTCAAGGGTTAACTGGTCAGTGTACCATGCCTCACTTGGTGCATGGGATGTCTGCACATACAAGGATCAATCCATTTGAAAGTCAGTTTTTTTTTTTTTTCATTTCAGGAGGATTTTGCCTTTGGACAAAAATACAAAAAGTTGTGGTCCCCTTTCTCCAATCTAATCCTAGCAGTACTTGGGTTATTTCCCCCATCTGCTCTAAATGTAAATCTAGCTTTATAGGATCCCTGGTCACATAGGGAGTTCATAAGTGAAGAGGGAAAGGTCAGTTTTTCTTTCTATTCATTTGATAGCTGAAGAATTTTTCATTTTATTATTAGGCTCCACCATTTAATATCTTATGAGAAATTCTTCCCAGGATTTGTTTAGTTTAAGAACTAGAGCGGAGGCAACAGAAAAATGGGGGAGGGCATTACACTGAAACTGAGGAGAGAAAATAAAATACAAGTTGATATAAATAATGTATTCTGTAATAAAAGGCAGTAGCTTTTCTGTACACTCTTATTTACTTTTAAATAATGCAGACAAATAAAACTCAACTTGCAGCAAGAGTCTTTTAGACCAAATACCTTGCAAAAAATTCTTTGGCACTATAGCAGCTTACATGGAGACAAAACCAATAATATGTTAGTAGCTATAATTATTGTTGTTTGCTCTTTTAAATGAAGACCAAGTGGGTTTGTTGCTAAAGAAAATAAAAATTGTGTATGGTGCAGATTCTGAGATGATCATTTTGATATATTTTTGGCTTTAGATGCAGTACTCTAAGTACTCTGCTACATGTGGGTGTATGTACTCCCTGACCTGATAACCCTTTGAAGGGCATAACAGTTATTTCAATAACCTAGGTCTCTCTGAGAGGACCTCCACCGCAAAGTGCCTCAAAGGGAGGAAATCTGTGCATGCCCTGACTCAAGCATATCCTTTTCATCATATATATTCGTGAGGAAGTTGCATCTGTTCCCCTATAGAAAAGGCCACTGCAGTTGCACGGAAAACTGGCAGATGCCTGTGGAGTCACATGGGCCAATGTCATGTTAGGGCTGTACTGGCCTTTCCTCATTGGAAGTGCAGCACCATTGGATCCTCTCTATGATTGTCTCCACACGCTGTCTGAGACCTGAAAGAAGTAGGCTGTGTTATCTTTGACCAGTTTTTCCACAAACAAAATGAGGACACTGCACATAATCCATCCCATCCTGCTGTACCACAACCTCCTCTCAGCCCCAGAACCCTGGGGCTTCATGGCTTCGGGTACGAGAAGAGAATGCCAGAGAAGAGACAAGCCCCCGCTTCAGTACAGAAAATCCAGCCCCTCTTTGCAGGTGGCTCGGTGTCCTTTTTTCATTTACATCCTAATCTCATGATGGCTGACAAATACAATGATCATCTAATAATCTGATCTAATCCCTATTGCCACAGGTCTCCCACCTTTTTGTCCCAGATGTAGACACACACCATGAAGTCATGTTACACTTTCTGCCTGAAATCCCTTTTAGGATGTAGAGCCATTTTCCTCCTCTGCTTCCACAGCTTTGTTTAGAAGAGAAGTTTTGGTTCTCACGGGCTTGATTCTACATTTGTCACCTCATTGAGGGTTATTTGACTAAGGAGTGCAAGAGCAAGCCCTCCATATCTTAAAATATGGATACACAGATTCCACCAGTAGAATGAGAGGACCCTCCATAGACGCTGGCTGTTTCCCACTTGAAGTGAGAGTCTATACTGTTGCCATCTGGTAGCTATTTTGAAGCACTTTCAAATCTTTAACCACAGTTCCTAATGTCTCTGTTTTATAATACTTTCATAATTAATCCCTTTTGCGTTTTCTTAGCGTTATAATACTTTGACCATAGCAGGCTTACCTTGCCCTAATCGTGTTAATATATTTAAAATTCAGTGGTTTTATGAGAAGTGACAAATTGACTTGAAGGATCTAGATAAGTACCTAGATACCACATGCATGTGTGCACAAGTGAACCATGTAATTGCACATGCATTTTTCAAGGGAGATACTTACCCGGCTTTGCTAAATGAGAACATCCTGGCAACATTTCAACCATTACAATGAGTTTTTTCAGACCCCAAATGAAGTGATTGTTTCAGTGCTTCTGATGTGAGGAGACTTGCAATTGCCCCAGAGATTCAACAATCTTTATGTATTTCATTACATAATGAAATGTGTTTAAGGAGTAAGCTTGGAAGAGAGCAATATCATTCAGCCTGTATTGTGTGCGTGCATGCACATAAAGCGCCTGTTCAATGACTGGGGAATGCACTTTAGTTCATTTAATACTTAGAGGGGAAAATCTTCACATAGTGGCTGTGTCTAGACTGGCAAGTTCTTCCACAAAAGCAGCTGCTTTTGCGGAAAAACTTGCCAGCTGTCTATACTGGCCACTTGAATTTCCGCAAGAACACTGACGATCTCATGTAAGAAATCAGTGCTTCTTGCGGAAATACTATGCTGTTCCTGTTTGGACAAAAGTCCTTTTGTGCAAAAGCTTTTGAGCAAAAGAGCCAGTGTAGACAGCTCAGATTTGTTTTGCGCAAAAAAGCCCCGATCGCGAAAATGGCGATCGGGGCTTTTTTGCGCAAAAGCGCATCTAGATTGGCACGGACGCTTTTCCGCAAAAAGTGCTTTTGCGGAAAAGTGTCCGTGCCAATCTAGACGCTCTTTTCCACAAATGCTTTTAACGGAAAACTTTTCCATTAAAAGCATTTGCGGAAAATCATGCCAGTCTAGACGTAGCCCTTAAGAACATAAGAACGACCATACGGGGTCAGACCAGAGGTCCATCTAGCCCAGTATCCTATCTTCCGGCAGTGGCCAATGCCAGGTGCCACAGAGGGAATGAACAGAACAGGTAACGATCATCTGATCCTTCTCCTGTCATCCATTTCCAGGCTTTGACAAACAGAGGGTAGGGACACCATTCCTACCCATCCTGACTAATAGCCATCTTGATATAGGGGGATTTCGATGCACATGAATGTTAGGGAAAATTGCATGCCTAAGATTGAGCATGTTCTCTGGTTTAGAGTAGAGTCTTTCAGGGCTAAAAAATGGTTGTTGTGTATTTTGGTGTCATTCAGATAATATTAATAGTCCATATATACTCCTGGCCATCTACAATTTCTCTCTGTCAAACGCAATTTCTTTCTCTGCAACCTGAATTCCTGTGAACATTAGTTTTGTCTTAATAAAATATATTTTTTCAATGGTGCCGCAGTGCATACATAACCTGAAATGCAGCCTATTGTATTAAATATACCTGCTGAATGTGGGAGAGATTTAGGGAGGGATACAAAGGGGAGTTAAACAGTCAACCATGATTTGTGCCTTTGAAAATCTACCCCTATATTACTGTGGGTTTAAAAAGATTCATTTTTTAATGAAGTCTCAGATAGGAGATGCTGCAGTGAAACTTAGAAAATAATCAAATGTTTGGCTTGGTCCTGTTGGAATAAGTGAGATTCTGATGTACAAATATCACGCAATGCAACATACCACACAAGTGTTTATTTAAACACTCTGTACAGTCTGTTTGCAGTCAGAGAGCAGCAATTGTTCTAATGGGGTCAATTAGCATTTGGAATAGCTTGTAAAATCTTTAATTAAATATAACCTTATGCCAAGGGCATACCATGTGCGGGTTTTTTCCCTTCTTTCTATAACAGTTTTCTATAGAGAGCTAAATAAGCTTTTATTTGAACTGAAGGTCAAAGATTCTTACTAGCCTCCCTTCAAATTTCTGAGCAAAACCACCAACAGGCTACCATGATGCTTAGTACTGGAGACAATGGATTTACAAAACAAATACGTTCTAGTAAAGTTTTAGTGCCATTTCAAATTTGTGATGAGTCAAAGTTACTACTAGTTACTACTTTGAGAGTTTTAATAGATCCTGCATTTCTCAGAAAATATGGATAACACAGCCGGACCTGGCTAGCATTGATATGAACATGTGTGCCTAACCATCAAAATGTACTCTTTTCAGATATCTGGAAGGAAACCATTTAACAGCTGTGCCAAAGGAACTGTCGACCTTCAGACACCTGACACTGATGTAAGAAATGCTTAGTTTTAATGCCAGCAAAATTAAATGTTTCTTTCCCCCACACGTCTTGAGTGGAGTATGGGAAATTGACATTTGAAACTAATTTCTGCCTATCATGTCAGCAGTTGTTTCCTTTAAAAGTAGATAAACCCTCTACGTACTATTTGACCGTAACTGGGTGTGGCAGATTTACCTGTACCACACTGGTAGGGTTGAAAGTCAAACATCATTTTTTTATAATTAAACCATTGCTCATGATATTAGAGCACTGAGAAAATGAAAGCACCTAACAAAGCTTTTTCTTTTGTTGATGTTTGAGAGGTAGAGCAGTTGTGAGTATGAGCTCAAAATAGATCCCCACAATCAGACATCATTCACCCTACTCCGCTGCGGAAGTTGCACATGTATGTGTATACAAAACACATAGAGGCTACCTGGGGAGAGGGCATTATCGGTGTGACAAATTGCAGCTCCATATGATGACATTGTGCAATTATGACTGCTCCCCTGTCCACTTATCCATCTGCCCAGAGATTTCTTTTACATCTGCTGCTTCTCAGTTGCAGTGCACTGAAAATATGCCCTAGAAGTGAGAACAAGGCTGTGGTGCCTTATAGGATTCTTCCCAGGTTGATTATAAGGGATGAGGGCAGTTGATAAGGGCTAGCTTTGAAATTGCTTACTTTGCTGCTTGACTCTGCTTCAACATTTTAAACTAACTTGTTTAAAGTCATTTGTATAATTGATGTATCTGCTGCATCTATTTCTTTAGTGACTTGAGCAACAACAGCATCAGCATGTTGGCCAATTACACCTTCATCAACATGACTCAGCTATCGACACTGTAAGTAATCACAATTCCGGCATCGGTTTTAATTGTTGTGCAGTACAGACTCAGTCGCATTAAACGAGTAACTTTCTTGTTATGTAAATCAATGGCTTTTCATGCTGCTTGTTAAGCAAATTAGTAGAAAAATAACCAAAGAAACACATAATTCTGCAGCTGAATTTTCTGATTCTCTTAGGATCCTGAGCTACAACAGACTCCGGTGTATTCCAGTCTACGCATTTAATGGACTCAAGTCGCTTCGAGTGTTGTAAGTAATACTTGTTCAATATGTCTGGGTTACAGCTTATTAGGATGCTGTTGATGACAGCAGGATATTTAATGAGCAGATGGCTTTCACTTGATTCAGTACGCCATAAATATTTTCACACAATTAGCTTCAATGTACTTGTACTTTTATTCAAGACATCCTGTACCAACTGACGCAGGTGATTGGTAAGCTATTTCATATGCAAAGGGTAGCCATATACTTTCAGTGCAAGTGCCCTTGCTTTAATATTATGGGGACAAGAATGAATAAGAAGGGAATAGCAGACAGTGTATTTGTCCATTGGAACACAGAACGGTAGCTGCCTGTGCAGAATGGAGAAGAACATCTCTCCCTTTATTCCCCTGTGGCCTATAAAAACCAATAGAACTCCAGCAAGAGTATAATTTTCTGCCTGATGCTTCAGAAGCTATAGCAGGTATCTCTTTTTTAAATCCTAGGAGTTTCTAATGACACTTGAACTTCTGTAGAGCCCTGCTGAATTTCATAGGACATTTCCTGGATGTTGTAGTGCATAGAAAGGATTATACCAGCCAGGTCTATGGCTTTGTAATGTTCTGGCATGGGAGAGCCAAATTCAGAAATGACTTCTCTCTGTCGGGCTGAGAAATGAGTGCCACCAACAGTGGTTTTCTGCTTCCATGAGGATGGGTGTAGGTTTCTGTTTCACTGTTCCCAAGGAAGGTCAGGTTGGCAAGCTGTGTGCCATTGTAGATTTGGAGGTAGCTGTCTGGTTGGCTGTGCTGTTTGCCAGGATGGATCAACTGATGAGAATCCCTCTGTGATATGAGACTCTTCAAATCAAGTTCTCACAGCTGTAATCTGCAGAATGTTCTCCTGACCTGGTACTCAGTGGAAATCAAGAAGCCGAGTAGAAAGATTCAAATAGAAGGGAAATGCTAGCAACAACCTGGTTGTGTATTTAACTTTCATATGATAATTCATCACGGTTGCTCTGTGAATTGCTGTGACAAACGAGACCCTCGCAGAATTGTTCAGATCAGAGGGACATGAGGCTCCACCACATGGTAATGATTCAAGGTTTGATTGTACAAGACAATCCGTAATTCTTCTTACCCTATTTAATGGTCTACATCTCAGCTTTATTGTTCCACCTCCTTCCTATAGCACCCAATAAAAAAATCAATATTTTTGCATTAGGGAAATTGTCTTTTGATCATATCTCATAAGAACTGTGCCTTTTGTACAGGGACGTCCATTGTCTTACATTTGCCACCACCACCAACAAACCTGCATTTATTTCTCTTTTGATCATTGTAAATTACTGATCAGACATTATAAGAATGAATGTGATGTTATATGAGAGGGTCTCAAACCATTTCATACAGACTGCCTAATATATCACCGTGGGCCATCTTCTCTCCTGCCTGTGATTGTATTACATATCTGAGGCAACCAAAGCTATTACTTACATGGAGAAGCAACATTGCACAAATATTTAATATTTGTAGCTGCTTGTAATACAGGTTAATAGTTGGGGAAAGGGTTGAGTCAGCACCATGTGAACAGCAGTATGATGTAGAAAGGAGAAACAAGCTTTCCATCTTTTTTAAATTTAGGCATCGTGGATGCAAATAAATGACATAAACCGAATGAATGTTTAGCAAAAGAAAATATTAAGAAGGAGAATTGTAATTGATATGGATTTTCTGGGGATCATCTCTCCCTATATCATCTGTGGTGCACACTACATGTTATAGAAAATATTTATGCTAGGAGATGAAACCTCAGCTCATGTTAAGCTGGTTGCACTACCGATTTTCTAGTGTCCCTCTCAGTTTGGAGAAGATACATGACTCTGATAAACAGAATAGCAATTATGTACTTCTAAGACATCCTGACTCCAGTGCTTTTTTCTATAGAGAATAATAGAAGATTTACCTAGTTTTGTTTTTCTTTATTTAAATCATTGTTCCGGGGGTGGGGCTGGGGAGGAGGGGTTCAGGATGCAGGCTGCCCTGGGGAGGGAGGACAACCCCAGCTCTCTCTCACCACAGCAACTGGAGTCAGGTGAGATGTGCCTGTCCATGGCTGCTGCAGCTGCAGTGGACATGGCTGGGGGAAGGGTGCATGTCCCCTGGCTGGGAGACAGACACAAAGAGACCAACTCTCTCCAATATGAATAGTCGATTGTTAATAGCATGAAAACTAGAACTAAAAATGCGTAATCAAGGTGTTGGTCTAATGTCCTCCCAGAAATCTCCAATGATGGAGATTCCACAACCTCCCTAGGCAATTTATTCCAGTGCTTAACCACCCTGACAGGTAAGAAGCTTTTCCTAATGTCCAACCTAAACCTCCCTTGCTGCAGTTTAAGCCCATTCCCTCCTCTTTGTGACAATCTTTTTGGTCGTTGAAAGCTGTCATCAAGTTCCTTGTCCTCATGTTCCTTCTCAGGCTTCTCTTTTCCAGCCTAAACAATCCCAATTCTTTTCATGTTTTCTAGACCTTTTATCATTTTACTCTTCTCTGGACTTTTTCCAGTTTATCCATATCTTTCCTCAAATGTGGTATCTAGAACTAGACACAATACTCCAGCTGAAGCCTAATCTTCATGAAGCAGAGTAGCAGAATTACTTCTTGTGCCTTGTTTACAACACTCCTATTAATACATACTAGAATGATGTTTGCGTTTTTTGCAACAGTGTCACAATCTTGACTCATATTTAGCTTGTGATCCACCATGACCCCTAAATGTCTTTCCACAGTACTCCTTCTTGGACAGTCATTTTTCATTTTATGCGTATGCATCTGATTTTTCCTTCCTAAGTGCATTTGCACTTATTGAATTTCATCCTATTTACCGCAGACCATTTCTCCAGTTTGTCTAGATCATTTTGAATTATAATACTATCCTCCGAAGCACTTGCAACGCTTTCCAGCTTGGTACCATCCAGAAACTTTATAAGTGTACTCTCTATGCCATTATCTAAATTGCATAGATGAAGATATTGAACAGGCCCAGAACTGATCCCTGCAGAACCCCACTCATTATGCCTTTCCAGCATGCCTGTGAACTATTAAGTAACTACTCTCTGGGAACCATTATCCAACCAGGGTTTTGGTTTTTTTCAGTTTTTCTTGGCAAAATGAAAAGTGCTCCCTCTTCCCCCAAATAAAATGTGGGAGGGATATTTGGGTCAAGGAAAACTATTTGAAATGAAAGGCCATTTTGAAATCACATTTTCAACATTTTTGTTTTTATGTTAGTTTCAGCTGAAACTACTTGCCAAATTTGACTCAAATTCGCAAATAGTTCCAGTGCTGTAAAAAAATTATTTTTGGCAAATTTACTGTTCATGGAACATTTTTGCCAGGCTCTAGTTCTGATCAGACTTGTTGCTGCATCTTAATTAGTGCTTTAATGATAAAATATTATGTCATTATTCATTCCCTGGGCTATTCATTTGCAAACTTCTGCCCCAATTAAGCATTATTTATATTCAAGCTCCTGATTTTTTTACCTGGTGTGTGTTTTAATTATGCAATGTAGTAGGGCTAAAGCGAAGAAATTACGTTCTCATCCTTACTTTGGAGGCATACCTTCTTTTGTTAGAGTTGTATGCGGTTATTCCTGCATTTTAGAGTCTACGGTCACCAATTCAGACTAAAACAGGAGAGGAGAAAGGTTAGCAGTTGGACACTGGTTATTGTATGTATTTCAATCATGGTTTGATTAGTGCATTTGGAAAGGAAAAGGTGGTCTTGCAGCAAAACCACAGCCCATATGTGTTGGAGCGCCTGGGCTCTGTTTTCTGTCACAAACTTCCCACCTGAGCTGTAACTTTTCCATCTGTAGCATGGGGTTAATACTTAGCTAGATCATTGATGCTATAAGGCCTAAATCATTTGGCTCTGGATTTCAGAGCTGCAGTCCATCTCTTGACTTTGTCTGGAACTGTGGGTTTGCAGCGTCTCAAAGAATCAGTCCCTGAGTGTTTGCAGAGTGCTTTGAGATCCTTGGATGGAAGGTGATGTAGAAAAGCTAAGTACAATTATTAGGCTTCAGTCAGGAGAGGTTCCCGGTGGCTGTGAGTGGATGCTGTTAAATGGGAAATTCTCAACTGCTGGGAAGCCATTCTTCCCACTGACATGCACCTCTGGGCATGTCTCCGTTCCCAGTTGCTGGTAACTCCAGGGGGGTTAGTAGCTGGGCTGTAATTTAATTTCAGTTTCTGCAGGTTGTGCCTGGACTGTGACACAAACAACGGGTGTCTTTTAAAAATTTAAATGCTGGCTGTTGGTTTTCTTTTGAGATCTGCTATTGCTCATCAAATCTTAAAAGAACCTCCTGCTTCAAGGGAGATAACAGTGAACCCTCTCAGTCCTGTGCATAACAACATTAGTGAAATGAAGCCCAAAAGGGAGTCTCTGTCTATGCTCTATGCATTTGGAAACCTACAGATTGATTTGATTTATTATGGCCTATAAAACTCTGGTGTCAGCTACAACTCTTGCCACATGTCATCTATGTTGTTATTAAAAATCAATTCTCCAGAGGGGAGAAAGTGCTTCCGAGTGACGGTGTGCAATCTGTTATTGTCATTTAGTATCCATGTTCTCAGGAGAACTGAAAAGAGAAGACATCAGCAAAACAATTTCCACATTTTCAGGGTTGTTGGCTGTTGTTGTTTTTTAAAGTACATGCGATATTTCATCATCTTGAGCCGTACTTGCCTCTGAAGGTAACTGGCCTCTTTGCTGCATGATTCAGTATCTTTCCAATTCCTTCTGCTTTCTTTGTATTTATTCTGTTAACAGTAAATATAAAATATGTATCTGAAAATCAGAAAACCCATGAATGAATAATTTAATTACATTTCATGTCATCTCTCTCTCTCTCTCTCTCTTCTCTTTCTCTCTGTCTGGCTGTGCTCCTCAGCTTCTCTGTCTCTTTGATAAATTTTTGCTACCCTTGTTTTCGAACCCATTATGCACTGCGTTAGATGCATGAGCAGTTCCCTTTGCCATGAATGGGGCCACTCATATTTACTGTTATGCCCCAGGGTAAGTATTTACAGAATGGCTCTAGTCATTCAATGGACTTTTACAATAGCGTAACAACTCAGTCATGAAATGAGTTACAAAATGTTCCACCCAGTTTTACATGTTCAAAACTACTGCCTTTATGGACCATTGATATATGTTGAAATCTAAACTGCATGTAAATATAGGAAAGGATGCACTGTGGGAAAGGTACGATCCCATAAATGCAGCATACAGCATGATGGTAAAACTTCTACAAGTGCTCCTCCTCTGAAACACTTTGCTTTTATATCTAGTTTATTTACTGTAGTTTAGTTGATTGGCAGCTGCACAAATTGAAATGGAAGTGTCCTGGTCACAGGTAGACTGACCTTTTACAATGATCTAAACTACATAGTTTTTTCAGAAAAAGTAGCCTTTTTCCGAAAAAACGTCACCTACCTCTAGACTGCCATTGCATTCTTTTGAAATTAAATCAAAAGAATGAGGAGGTTTTTTCAACAGCAGTAAACCTCATTTTACGAGGAAGAATGCCTTTTTTAAAAGCGCTCATTCAAAAAAAGGCGTTCTTAAACGCAAACAGGGCTTTTTCGAAAGAGAGAGTCTAGATTGCCTGAGTGTTCTCTTTCGAAAAAGCAGATCGCTTTTTCAAAAGTGTTGTTGCTATCTAGACGATCTCTTTTGAAAGAGGCTTGTAGTCTAGTTGTACCCTTAGTTTTCATTTATTTTCTTACAGGAACAGAACTAATGGGTGTGTCTGTCTGGTATTTAAAGACATAGTTGGGATCAAATTGAACCTACAATTAACAGACACACAATGAAGGGTGCTTATGATCTCCATTGATATCTGAGGGCCTTCAACATGGATTGGTTGCTGTGGGAGTCCTCACATCCAGGCCTTACAGTAGCTGATGAGCACCTGATAGGATCAGGCATTTACAAGTTGAACTCAATTTTCATTTAAATATTTGCAAAAGAAGAAGGGTTAAGACAACACAAGCCATCAGTGTAAATTATCCATTCCCACTGCACCGTTGCTTGCAAATTAGGCAACCCCATTTGTGGATTACTAAAAATAATGGCGGAAATGAGAAATGTAACATTGTAGTGAGTTCATTTTAATGGTAACCAATTCCAGGCCATTATATCCACTTCTGTCTTCTGGGCACATAATAAGCAGGCCCAATCGTGTAGTCCGTATGCCAGTAATAATATTTCCTGTGTAAGGGCCACAGGTAAGGCCAGTGAGTTGCTTGGGTTTAGCGGTGTTAATAAGTGTCCTCTGTCTGGAGATTGTGTATTGTACTGCTCCTCCTTCCAACTGAGGTGAATCGCTTGGCAATTCACCCAGAGTTGTCAGTGCCACAAGTTACTCTTGATAGGTCAAACACTTAACAGGATTCTTCAGGGTCAAAGTAGAGAGAACACAAGGCTTTCGGGGTAGGAGTGCTCAAAGCAGCAGAGACTGCTCATCCAAGAAATCTGCACAGCTTTCTATGGATGAGTTTTCTGTTGCAAATCTCTGCAAGATTGTCACTAGTGCTGCTCCTTGTCCATACACACTCTGAGGATAGGACGATGGCAGTTAGACTGTCTACCCTCACTGGGCCCAAATGCCCACTGCACTACCAGGAACCTCACTGGTTCAGAGAAGCGTGTGTTCTTCAATTGTCAGTTTGGCCTTAGTTCAGCTGAGTGTGCACTGGTGAGGTGACACTGTAACGTTGTAATTCACTAGTTTAAATTCTAGTGCATATTGCAGTGGGACTAGTGCACAGGAAGGGACATGACATTAAAAGAAGACTCAGCGCCAGAGATGTCTTTTGGATTAAATTAGAATGACCGCCTTCTATTTAAAGGCCTAGATAGGTTTTTTCAGTGATAAATATTACAGCTTAAGTTCACCTGCCACATTGTGAGTATCTATAATGCTGCCAGAGGCAATAGTAGTAAGTGTCATTGTATGCCATAAATGCCAGAATAAATTAGAGGAGAATGACTCTCATAAAGAATTATAAAATACACACACACCAGTTTTCTATTCTCCATGCTGCTGCAGCAGATTAGAACATCACTATTTTTGACATCCGTGAAAGGCAGACGCAGTCTGTCATCAAGGAAGGGTTTCATGACTGCTCCAGACTAAGCTCCCTTCTTTAACTGATATGGACCACAGGAGAACTGCAAAATACATAAAATCTTGTGTTAAAATGCTCTGATGCCCTCTCCACTCCTCCTTCCTCTGTGAACAATATCTTACTGACTTTTTATAGGAAGAGATTTATACAATCTGGTGTGTTCTCCCTACATTTCTGCAGTGATGACTTTTGAGAATTTCTGTCTGAAAATATGAAATTTTTTAGTCTGTCTGTAGGTTGACAGGTAGCCCATAAATTGTGTAAGACCAATAAAGTCCAAATTGTGACTCGTGCGGGGAGATGCATTTTACTCAGTGGGCTGCTTGGTATCAGCTCCAGTGTGTGTGCATTGCGAATGCCACTGTATAAATCCATGGTACACCCACACTTTGAATACCGCATGCAATATAAAGAATATCTCAACTCAAAAAAAGATGTATTAGATTTTGGAAGAGTACAGAGAAGGGCAATAAAAATTAATAGTGGTACAGAACAACTTCCATATAAGAAGATTTTTAAGAGACAGGAACCATTCAGTTTAGAAAAGAGATGACAAAAGGGTATATGAAAAAAATCTATCAAAGCAGTAATAGTGTGGAGAAAATGAAGAGGGAAGTGTTATTTTCTCCTTCACATAATACAAGAATCAGGTGTCACCCAATAAAATTAGTAGGCAACAGGTTTAAAATAAACATAAGAAACAACTTCTTCACACAGTGTAGTCAACTGGTGAAGTTCATTGCTAGGAGATATGAAAGCCAACACTATAACAGGGTTTAAAAAAAGGACTAGTGAAGTTCATGGTGGATTGGTCCGTCAATTGCTAATAACTATGTGGACACAACCGCATGTGCTGGATATCCCTAAACCTCTGACTGGCGGAAGATAAGGCTGGAGGACCGGATGGATCACTCAGTAAATTGTACTGTTCTGTTTATTCCTTTGGAAGCATCTGACGCTACCATTTTCAGAAGACATGAAAAGGGTTAGATGGACCTGTGTTCTGAGCCAGTTTAGCTGTTCTTATATTCCTCCCCGTAGTCTGATGCACTCATTTTTTGAGCCACCTCATTCAATTTGATTATAATCTCCTTGGTGCAAGAAGTGCATTTTTGTTTCTTTGTAGAGCACTATTATCCCTCAATCCAGATAGTGGCATTCAGTTACTATTGCAACACAATCTGTATACATTTAAAGAAAAGACATGCTGTTATGCTAGCACCTTTCAAATAATGTATTCCACATATTATAAGAAATATTCTTCTTCATATAAATAAACAGAATCCAGTTCTTGGAGGAGAGAATAAAATGCCTTTATAGGTGGTTTGTGAAAGTAGGAAAGATTGTGCTTATCAGAGAATCATAGGGCTGGAAGAGACCTCAGGAAGTCATTGAGTCCAACCCTCTGCTAAAAGCAGGACCAATCCCAACTAAATCATCCCAGCCAGAGCTTTCTCAAACTGGGACTTAAAACCTTCTAGGGATGGAGATTCCACCACCTCTCATTCCAGTACTTCCCCACCCTCCTAGTGAAATAGTTTTTCCTAATATCCATCCTAGACCTCCCCCACTGTAACTTGAGACCATTGCTCCTCGTTCTGCCATCCGTCTCTCCTGACAACAGCCTCTCTCCATCCTCTTTGGAACCTCCCCTCAGGTAGTTGAAGGCTGCTATCAAATCCCCCCTCACTCTTCTGTAGACTAAATAAGCTCAAATCCCTCAGTCTCCTTATAAATCATTTACTCCAGCCCCCTAATCATTTTGGTTGCCCTCCACTGGAATCTCTCCAATGCATTCATATCCTTTCTATAATAGCAGTTGGGGGCTCAAAATTGGATGTAATACTCCAGATGTGGCCTCACCAGTACTGAATAAAGAGGAATAATCACCACTAGATCTGCTGGCAATGCTCCTCCTAATGCACCCTACTATGCCATTAGCCTTCTTGACTACAAGGCCCCTCTGTTGACTCTTATCCAGCTTCGCATCCACTGTAATCCCCAGGTCCTTTTCTTCTGAACTGCTGCTTAACCAGTTGGTCTCCAGCCTGTAGCAGTGTTTGGGAGTCTTCCATCCTCGTTGAACCTCATCAGATTTCTTTTGGCCCAATCCTCCAACTTATCTAAGTCACTACAGACTCATTGAGCCCGACGATCTAGCCAGCTTTCTGTCCACCTAATAGCCCGTTTATCGAAGCCATACTTCTTTAAATCCAATCCATACTTCTTTATACTCTCTTCTTATGCTCTGCTCATTCTCCAGAGGTGCTGATTTCCATGTTAAATGTGGACAGGCTCTTCTATGCACATAGACTATCGCTCCCTCCTGGAGTCCCACCGTAGTCCGTGTTTAATTTCATCTTTCACATCCCCTCTTTTCCTTTGTTTTATTTGCATTTTCAGCTAATGTGACGCTGCAACAGTACGTATGTCTGTGACAGGGAGGAAAAGATGCTTTCCTGTTTTTCTGTTTGAATGATTAAAAAAGCAAGCAGGACATCTTTTACGATAAAATTAACTATTACAATTTTTAACTGCAGATAAAGTTATTTATAGAATCCTTGTATAAAGGCACAAATAACAAAGCACGGATTCTAGTGGATTATGAAGCTAGTACAGTATCTACATAGGGGTTAAATATTGATTCCAAAGCTAGCTAACGATTCATAATTTGGGGTGGAGCATGACAATGCTGAGTTCTAATGTCTTGTTCTTTCTCTGCTGTAGAACTCTTCACGGTAATGATATTTCCAGTGTCCCTGAAGGTTCTTTTAATGACCTCGTGTCCCTTTCACATCTGTAAGTACCCTGGCTCGGAATTAATGTTTTTGACTGTTATTTTACTAACACAATGTAGGTTACTCTGCTAATCTAGTTCTAAGCCATTCTGAGTTGTGCCCATTTTCTGTCTGCATTCTACTGTCTTTTTTCAGATAATGTCTGTTACAATTAAATAAAATAAATGATGCAACTGCTTATCATTGAAAAAAAAAACCTTGGGAAAACAACTGAATGAATAATATGACTAATAATATGAATAATAAAACTCTTTTATGGTATTTGTGCTAACACGCAGCCATCTAGCTCTCTGCATGTGATTTTTAGAGCAGGATGGTCCAGAAGCCTGAGTGTGAGGCAGGAAGCCACCCGCCAAGAACAAGTATTAAGTAACTTGTGTGTGGATTCTGGGCATAATAAGTATCATATGGTTTAAATACTGGATTTTTGTCAGTATAGGATCTTGCATATGAACTCATAATTCACATATATTAATAGTGAACTTTTTGTGTATTTCATTCCACATATACATATGAAAATATGTTCAGAAATAACATACTATCTGTGTATATGAAAAATAACATACTGTCTGTGTCTATTTATTTTTTTCCATCACTTTCTTCCTTTCCTTATGGTCTTGGACCAATCGCTCACCTAGAGATGGATGAAAATTGGTAAAATTTAATCTGTCTTCTTTTACTTTTGATTTGTAAGCTCTGGTCTACACTAGGGAGTTATTTCAAAATAACAAGCAGAACATCCACACTACCAGTCCCGTTATTTTGAAATAACAAGCTGGTTATTTTGAAATCTGCACTCCAGTTTTAGAAATTGCATGTTCTCGGGCAAGCATAATTGTTATATTGAAGAAGCGTTAGGGTGGATGCTCTAGTGCAGCTAATGAAATAATTGGCCTCCAGAGGCCTCTCGCAGCTGTACATGTTGCTAGTCTGGCCACACCTGCCAGCTCCACTACTCCCCTTCTCCTGCAGAGCTTAAAACAGCAGGCTGTAAGAGAAGGGCTTGTGGCATGTGGCTAGCTTGGCAAGCCTTGAGCCATACAGCAGGAGCCAACAGAGCCATGGCAGACCCCAACGCTACCTCTGAGCCTCCCAAGGCTGTCAGCGCTCCTGCAGCATCCTTGGCTACCACGGGCCAGGGCCTCAGGAGAGCTTCAGCCTGGACTGGTATGGAGATCCTGGACCTCACCGAGGTCTGTGGAGAGGAGACCAGCCTCCAGGATCTCTGCACCAGAAGGCGGAATTCTGACATCTATGGCTGGATTCCTGCCACATGGCTGACAAAGGCCACATGCCTGGACCCTCAACCAGGTCTGGATGAAGATAAAAGAGCTCATACAGGGCTACAAGGCCAGGACAGAACAGACTCTCCAGGGTGGCACCACACACATGCCGCTACTACGAACTGCTTGATACCATCCTTGGAGGGGGTCCAATCACCTCCCCCATCGTCATTGAGTCCAGCAAGGACACACCCAGTGTCAGCCTCCCCAAGGGCAGGGTTATGGATGAGGAGGAGGAAGAGGCCAACCAGGCGACCATGCCCACCAGGCGGGAACTGCTGCTCACCCTGGAGCCAGTTCTTCCCTCCCAGGATGTCTCTCAGGCTTCAGACAGTCCCCCACCTCCGACACCATCTTCTTGACTCCGCAGGAGGAAACACACTCAGGAGGACCTAATGAGGAGCAAATGGCCTCTGGTCCAGTCTGGTCATCGTGCTGCAGGAGCAGCATGTGGGCAGTCTGGATGAACTGCGCCATGAGGCGCAGCTTGAGGCCTGTGAGCCTGGGACTGCTTTGCTGCAGCTCCCGCTCCATGTTGTGAGTGCTGTGGTATCCGCAAGAGCACACTGTGTCCCTTTTATGTCCCGCAAGGAGAGAGGCAGCGGAGGGGTGGATTTTGATGTTGTTATTTCGATCTTATTTATTTCAAAATTATTTCCTAGTGTAGACATGCTCTAAGGCTCTGAACATATTCCTGTGATTTGGTTTCAGGCCAGATCCATAGTTCAGCTGCAGTTCAGGCTTGAGTGTTCAAATACCTTTCAAACAAGTTTCTTGAAATTTCCATTTCTCAGGTTGGGAGGTAGCATGAACGAAGGAGTAAGGCATCAGACTGGCATGTCCTGGCAGCTAGGAGACTGGGCAATATTTAAAATGCATATTCACATTGACAGAAATATTTGGCAAATTTTTGATAAATTTGCCAAATGGTTTTGATGATACAAATACAAGAATCCAAAAAGATTGAAATGTTTTGATCTTTTTTAAATGAAATGCCTCTAAAATGTTTTGTTTCAAAGTGTCCTTCAATTTTATTTGTTTTTAATTAAGCTCTAACTTGAAATGAATGGTTTCATGGATCTGAAACAACAAACAACTTTTTTTTTCTCAGAAGTACCAATGAACCAAAACATTCATTGTTTGCTCAGTTCTAGAGGGATGGTGATACTTACTACATTCTAAACTCAGAACTCCGGTCATCTGAAGAAGTGGGCTGTGCCCACGAAAGCTCATGATACCATCTTCATGTTTTGTTAGTCTAAAAAGTGCTACTAGAACTTTTGTTGTTTTTTTAAGTTTATCCTGTACAGACTAACTTGGCTACCCGCTGAAGCTTCTAAAAGTTACTAGTTGGGACAAAATCTCATATGAACAATTCAAGGGATTTCAACTCAATTTTATATGAATTTGAACTTGAGCTTCAACCCTAATTCAGCTTCAGATACAAATGTCAGACTCTAGCCTGTACCTAAGCTAGATAAATGGGCAAATATTTATTAAACACAAAATGTATTTTACACTGTGTTTATAGTACAGTAAATTCATAGGGATGAATTCAGGCTCAATGTAAGTGGGAATGTACCAAATTCCTTTGTCTGTACTTGAAAATGCAATGACACCTTCCAAATAGAGGAGGCGGACATCTAAGGATATATTTAGAACTGAAGTTATAAACATGTCATGTGCCATTTTGGGGTTTTCCTCAGCGTTTACATTAAACAAAGTGCAGACACAGTTTCCTTAGATAATCTGTTTACCCCAAAGAATCATAAAATCCCCTTTGGCCCAGCACAGTCACTGCAGCCCTCTGTTGAAGGCATGTGCTGCCAGCAGTGTAAAGTACACAATGCTCAAATGAATGGCAGTAAGTAGGGACCATAAACAAATTAAGACTTGTCTAGGGTATAATTTGCTCAATGAACAATTAAGTTCTACTGCACAATTTTCTCTGCTGTTTCTTTGAAGTAGCATTTTCTTTCTGTAGCTCTAGGAAAGAGTCCGCTAGACAGAGTTCAACATGTTGAGTTCACCAGTAGGGCTGAGAGAAATTTAAAATAATGTATTTTATTAACACTGACATATCTTTCTGGGGTTCACATATCTCTGAGAGAGACCGTAGCTGTGGCATTTTTTAAAAAAAGAACAAAATACTGCCATGCATTAATTGCATATATCTTCTGAGTACATAAAATGTTATATGTGAGACACACTTTCACTGCTGGTCGTGTGAATCCATAGTAAAAGGATGGACCTATAATGTGCTGCTATTCCTAGGGTCAGAGGAGATTCTGAGTGTTGAGACATTGAACAGTTTTAGCCTGGGCAGAACTATTAGTATGGCCATGAAGATCACTTACAAGTTATGATGGCTCAAACAGACCATTGTACAAAGGTACAATTCTCCAGTATAGACAAAATTATTCTCTTCTTTGGTCAATGCCTTTTTCAACAGATGCAGCTGTAATATTGTTTGGAATTGGAAATGTAAACATTCAGATCTGGACTACTCTAATCTATTTTCCAAAGCTGCTCAAAATGCAGGGAAAGATTTTCACTGCAATGGCTTTCTTTTAAGATAACTTTTTAAATAGAATTTTCGGGGACTGTATCTTCATAGAGACATTATGGTTTGTCTATGGAATGCACGCTTGTTTTGTATAGGACCTGTGCCAGTGTACTTTGACAATCCTAAATACTCTCCAACTGAGGCTGTGTCTTCACTGCCAAATTTATCAGGTTTTTTTTCTGATATCATGATAAAAAAGCCTGAGCTCTTTCTTCACTAATCTAGAGATGGAAGAGGTTAACCGGTGGGGGCTGGAGCAGCTCCCGACTTGCCATTGGCAGAGAGCTACTCCAGCCCTATGGTGAGCCCAGGCTCTCCTCAGCCCCTTTCATCAATTAACAGGTTAAACATAATGTTTAACGGGATAACCAGCTAAATGAGATTTTAGGTCCCTACACTAATCCCCCATACTAGTGTTTTAAAAAGGCTCCACATTTGCTAGGGGAGCAACCTTAAAGTTGGCCATGGAAACTTGAGAACGCCCATGAATTCATTCAATGCCTATGCATCATGCTACTGACATCCAAAACTACCAGAGCCAATCGACTACCAGGTACCAATCCCTGGTAGGGCTTGACTTGATCCTTTATCAAAAACCTGGTAAAAGAGACATTATTAAAAATTTGTCTGAGACGTATATGCTCTACATAAACTATTCAGATTCGTGTCCCTATCAATTTGTGTTTTGTTTTCTCAAGCTCATGTTAGCTATCTATAAAAATAAACTATGACCTCCATTATGCTCTCTTTCTCAGTTCATCTCATCTGTAGTTATTTTAATTGCCCTTCAATGAGAAATATACAAGTCTGGGAGGAAAAAAACCCCAGCCCTTCATTGTAAAGACCCTTAGGCTATGTCTATACTACAGGGCTTTTGCGCAAAAACCCATTGAACATCCTCACCTCAAGCACATTTTTGCTCAAGAAAATATACAGTAAAATGGCAGAATAGAGGGCTTTTTGCAGTGCGGGTATACCTCTTTCTATGAGGAATAACTCCTTTTTGCACAAGAGTTCTTGCACAAAAAGGTGTGTGTGGATGCTCCACAAGGGTTTCTTGTGCAAAAAGAGCCTATCAGAAAAAGCACTGGTGCTCTGATGGCCATTCTGTTAATGACCATCAGAACTTTCTTGTGCAAGAGCATCCATGCA